AAAATGGTATTTAAAAAATGTTAACAACTACATATTTCAATTATTTTATTAATGCAATAGTTTTAGTTAAATAATCTTTTTAATTAACTAAATATCTTATCAAATACCTTCGTAGTATATGTTTAATTTTACATTAAATACTCACATTAATGAAAAATTTATCTCTAAGTGAATGTATATTGTTTGGGTACATAACACATTATTAATATGTTGTCATGTGTATCCATGTATGGGGAAAGAATGATAATATCAAGTATCAAATTTAATTAAATAGTTTTATATTTTTATTAAATATAAATTTTATTAATTTAATTATTATAATATATGATATTATCGTAATTGTATATATTAATTTTTATATTATTTAAATATTTATAGATATACAGATTAAAATTTAACTTTAATATATTTTTAAAATAGTATATCAAACATTATTTTTATAATAAAATATTAATGAATTTTCAAATCATACAAAAGTTTGCAAATATTATCTACTTTCTGTAAAATTTAAATCTAACGGTTAAATTAATAAAACTTACTTTTTTATAATTACACGCATCCACAATTCACAGAATGTGATATTTATATGTTAAATTTAACTATAAAATATTTTAATGATTGTTTTTATGAATCCAGATTTAATCTACTCTTAGTAATTTTTTAATATTATTATCCAGTTATTTGTATTTCTAAATGATCAACAGGTTTGAAGTTCACAACCAATGCCCACGAAATCAAAACTTGTTCAATGATATATATTTTTTATATTAAAACAATCTAGTTAAGTTGAATTTTGGAAACTCATCATATTCCAGTCGTGTTTCAAAACTCAAAAAGGATTTTAAATATACTTACAGATTGTTGACACTAACCATATTCTCACATTGATAATAGAATTCAAGCACACATTTTAGGAGATACAAACTCAATTCTTACTGATTCAACTATTTTTCTTTATTTAATGTATTATTGAAACATGTGTGATATTATTATCAAAACAAACATACTCAATTTTCTCGTTATCCTAACCATCTCCTACGTAAAAAATGCAACCATTACCTTTATTATTCTTTTGATTACCATAAATTATTACTATTAATATATCACCATTATGTATCATTATTAATATCTTACATAAACTAATATTGTTATTATCATTCTTACCCCCTACAACCTTCGTATGCCTCCTTTTTAACCGTTCCATGCATTTTCTTATCATTGCCGCAACTCTGATTACTGTTATCATCAAATCTACCGCGGTTGCAATTGTATAGCACAATGGGTATTTTAGGAAATTGCTTTGTTATTTTGTCTATTTGTGCACGTAAAAATTTATGTCACAAAAAAACCACCAAAATAATATATAGGCAGAACGAAAAGTTATACTGTCATTAAGCTCGTTGTACCATATTATTCTACTTGTACTGTCCTTCAACACTCATCAAACACAACCTTATAGTAAAAACAAGATAATTTATGAGTCTATAATTTTTCCTCTAAATTATTTTCAATCATTTAACATTATTTTTTTTCACATAATATTTGAATAAAAAATGCTATCCCATTTCAAAGTGACCGACATGTCACAAGTTTATGAGCTTCATTTGGGGCAGAAAAGGTTGTGATATTAGGCACGTGATTACCAAGCCGTTTTTTCTTTTAATCAAAACTCAATCACGCGCCTTAGGATCTCATATACTGATATTTGATTTTAATATATTTTAAATAAATCCTCCAACATAATAACCATCTAATGTGAAAGGAAAAAAAAAAGGTATTCTACTTAGACTTTCTATTATTAACGTTTCCTGATGAGTAACCATATATTTTTTACCATCATGAGAAATTATATTTTACCTATGAGCAATTAATAATTTGAAGTTTCCAAAGATCTTTGTACTTCTAGCATCATAATAGTGATAATAATAATAATAATACTTCTTATACTATTCTTACATTATTTTTCTATTTGATTAATAAAACAAACGAAAAAGACAATATCAATACACGTTCTCTTTATAATTATTTCTTTCTCCAACTAAACACTAAGAAGGTAATATAAATTATATGACGTGCAATATATTCCAAGTTTATCTTCTTTAGTTTATAACTCATTCTTTCTCTTTCTTTAGTCTTCATTGAGGTCTTGCTTTGTTTTAATTATTAACGTAACTAATGTTTTCCATTATCATCACTTTATCGTATGCGAGTATCCAGTTTTACGTTCTCAACAATATCCACATAAAATAAGAGAGGTTAGCGACTCTCTTCTGATTTAAGTAACAAATAGGTAAGCAATACCGATAAAAATATCTATGACCGCTGCCTATTAACATATAATTCCTTCAAAGACTTTTTCAATAGTATCTTTGCTTCCTTTGAATTGTTAATTCTTCTTCTATTTGGGGGTAAACCGCTCATAAAGTTCGAGCTTCTCTTGTAAGCTTCACTTGGGTGTTGAGCAACTTTTGAGATATTATTATTTAATTACATTCACATTGATACATGAGGAAAGCAAAGAAAATTGAAAAGTGAGAAATAATTACTATATGGGTGGGGAACCGGGTCAGTTTAGCTTTGTTTTTCCAATAATGAGAATCATAGACATTATCAAAATAATCAGTTGTGGTATCTATCCGAAATAATTAGTCATCATTTTCCCATCGTTTTGCTTTGGCCCTCTATCTGCTTCTGCGTCCCTACTATTCTACTTTCACTTATTATCACAAAATGAATGCGCTTCTCATTTTAATTATTTGGATCCTCACTGTCCACTTATTACGCTCTATGGTTTTCAAGCAACTTTTTTTTACCTCCTCTTTTCTTTCAAATTATGAAACCATGTAGCTTCTTAGTATGCAAACACAACGCTACCCGTCTATAAAAGTAAAAACAACTAAAATTAACGAGACAATCGAATGAGTATCAGAAACTCATTGATTGTTGATGTGGAATTATGAATTGGTTGTATGATTTGATGATTAGCTCTTTCGTATATTTTACTTGTTATATCTTGTTGGTTTCACTTTAGAACTTAATGCATCCGCAGCTTATATATGAGGTGCAAGGAAGAAAAGAAAAAGAAACATTATGCGTTTAGTTTTTCTTATTTTTAACATGTGTTTAAGAGTATAAAATAAAAATTAACAAATAATTTTTATTAAAAATCAAAATATAATTAATCTTAGCAATTTATAATATTTTATAATTTGTAATAAGTTTAATTATTCTTTTATTCATCATATTTTAATTTATATATGATTTTAGTCTCTTTAATTTTAATTGCTTGCATTTAATATCTTTAGTTTCTTAATTGTTTAAATTAAATTTTTATAAAAAAAATATTTAATAATAAATAAAAATATAATTAATATGTAATACATCATTGATTTATATAAACGTATAAATAAGAATAAAAGATAGTGGCTTAATTGAATTTGGTCTTATACGAAAACACAAGGAGGTGGAAAAGTTGTGAAAAATTGGGTAGGTGTTTTCTTTCATGGGAACTTTTGGGGTCAATAATTCAATCACCTGGACAGAGGAGCAAAAGGAAGCCGAGCCGCGGAACAGCCAAAGTTGGAGGCTCAACGTAAAAGTAAAGGAAAGCTAAACACGGGTAGCTAGAGCTAGCTATTGTAAGCTAGTGAGTAAAAAGTACTAGCGGCCAGAGAGAGCATACGTCTCTAGCACACGATATTCAAGTTTGAAATGTTCTTTTTTAATAAGAAAAAGATGCAAAGTAGAAGAAGAAAAGAAAACTAGAAAAGGCCGAGAGATATCCTAGAAGCAACGGATGGAAGAAATGTCGTCACCCAGAACAGTCTTTAATTCCCATCACGTAGTTCGATGTATCCTTTGCCTTATATCTGCTAGAGATGTGCTATAGAAAAGAAAAATGATAGGGATTCGAAATTAGAGACTGTGTTTGGTTGGTGACATTAAACAACAAAAGGAAAGCTACAAATTGTGAAAAGAGGACACTCGTTTGACGTGAAGTGAAACCCACCTTCTTTACATTTCTGTTCTTATTTGATTCCAATATTTTATTCCAACAATAATATTATAATGTTAATACTCAAATACCATATTGTTTCTCAAAAATCATATTATCCTTCCTCCCAAGATTCCCTTTCCTTTGGAATTGGCAATTAAATACCACTAATAACATAATCATTCCAATTTAATTAGCACATCAAATATATTGAATATATATAGACATCTATCGGACTTAATCATTAGAACTGAACAATATTAACATTCCTTAACACTAAAACACTAAGACTTTTGCCCACAAAAAAAATGATTAGGGAAAAGGCTGTAACGTAGTAAGTGTTTGACTGATTACTACTAATGGAACGAAATAAAAGTAAAAAGGAATAGAGGATTGAGTTGAGGAAGGGTTCAACGGTCAATTTGTAAAGATGATAGATAGATAGATAGATAGCATTGGTCTGCACCTTCTTCCTCTTGTGCGTGATTTTAAGTGGGTGTGCGCGGGATCAATGTCAGAACTCAGAACCCTCTCTGTATCACAAACACATACGCACACACACGTAGAAAGAGAGAGAGAGAGAAGGAGTCACGGGTTTGTCTTGAAAGGCCCTTATTTCACAGTCCTAGACAGACAGACACATATTCTCTCTCACTACATAACCGATGAGGGAAACAAATATACATATATTTCCCCTGCCAGACAATACCCTTCCACCCAAAACAAAAGCTCAAATTAATACTATTTATTTTAAATTTAAAATAAACATACACAAATATAATTGATTAAAAAACAGCTATAAACATTAAACAAAACGCATTACACAGTAACAAGCTTGTACTACAGTGCTACTTCTACCCTCAATCTTCACCCCTTCTCTCTCCTCCTCTCTAAACATTTTTATCTATCCATCCCTCGCCATTCTCATTCTCACTTCACTTCCCACACTCACAAACGCTCTCTCTCTTCTCACCAGTTATCACAGCAGCGTGATTGAATCAGTCCAATGGCTCTTCTTCTAGACAACTGCGAAGGCATTTTACTCTCTTTGGACTCACACAAATCGGTGCCAGCTCCATTCCTGACCAAGACATACCAACTAGTAGACGATCCCACCACAGACCACATAGTGTCTTGGGGCGAAGATGACACCACCTTTGTCGTTTGGCGCCCCCCAGAGTTCGCTAGGGACCTTCTCCCCAACTACTTCAAGCACAACAACTTCTCAAGCTTCGTTCGCCAACTCAACACTTATGTACATATCATATTCACAAACAATATTTATTACTTAAGTTGTAGCTTTTTTTTTTTCTCTTCATTATCTAACTTTGTTTAATTACTTTCTTCGAACACACAAACTAGGGTTTTAGAAAGATCGTGCCAGATAGATGGGAGTTCGCGAATGAATTCTTCAAGAAAGGAGAAAAACACTTGCTGTGCGAGATCCATAGAAGAAAAACGGCTCAGCCTCAACAAGGAAGCATGAATCACCACCACCATCATCACCAGCATCATTCTCATTCTCCGCTGGGAATCAACGTTCCCTCTTTCTTTCCCTTCTCCACCAGAGTCAGCATCTCTCCCTCCAATGAATCCGACGAGCAAGCCAATTGGTGTGACTCTCCTCCACGTGGACCCTCTTCAGTCGTTAACGGAGTTTCCAACTACAACACTTCAGTCACTGCGCTTTCTGAGGACAACGAGAGACTCAGAAGAAGCAACAACATGCTCATGTCCGAACTTGCACACATGAAAAAGCTCTACAACGATATTATCTACTTCGTTCAGAACCACGTTAAGCCAGTGGCTCCAAGCAACTCTTACTCTTCTTCTTTTATACTATGCAATACACCACAAGCAACTCCAATAAGTAGCGGTAATGTTTCCATGATGCAAAGGCCAATGAACCAGCTTTTGGGGTATTATTCTACTAACCCTAAGCAAGCCACCACTCACTCTCAACCTCAACCTCAAACATATGTAGTGAACTCTCCCACTAACACATCAAGGAGCTCCATAACGATTGTTGAAGGACCTAGCAGTAACAGCTGCAAGACTAAGCTTTTTGGGGTGTCTTTGCAGTCCAAGAAAAGGGTGCACCCTGATTATGGATCTAATAATCCCACTAATTCGGAGACCAACAAGGCTCGTTTGGTTTTGGAAAAGGACGACTTGGGCTTGAATCTCATGCCTCCCTCCACTTGTTAGTCCACTGATTAAATTCTCTGAAATATCCAAAACTAGCTAGCTACTTATTTTTCTTTTACTTGCTTTGATTTGTTTTCTTCTTCTTTTTTTTCTTTTTAATTTTTAAATCACTCTCTCAAGTTTTGAGTCTCGGAGAAGGCAGATGATATTGATGGAAACATGCGTGTGTGCGTGCGTGCGTTTGTGTGACTGTTTGTGATTCTGTGTACATATAACTTAGTGCCGATATTATTATCTTTGTTTCCGACCCATCATCTATTGATGTAGGTGGGTTTTGGTTAGATTAAAGATAAAAAATTAAAGCAAACTTTAAATGTTCTTCAACTCCTCTTAATTTGTGGTCGAGTTTTTCTCACTGTCATTGGTGCAATTTATTGTCCTGGATTGTGTGGGATCATTTTCTTTTCGTCCTGTTCATCGTCTATTTTGCTTATTTTGGTACCTGCATGCCTTCAGTTTCATTAATGCTAATGCCAGCGCAAGAGAGAGAAAGATAGAGTTAATGATAAAGAGTTGCTTACAGTTTTTATTGGGTAAAAAGCTGAGAACTGAGAATGTAACAGGCTGGCTTAAAGACAAATTTCTAAGGCTTTCTTGAGGAAGCTAGCTCCATTAATGGTGTCCATGTACGAAATGAAGAACACAAAATACGTTGCATCTCAATTCAAAAACCGATGAAAAGACGAGTGATATTACAAAAGATTCATGCCATAAAGGAGCTGACAGTAAATGACTGATTCGTTAGTAAAAAATTCCCATTATTAGAAGTACGATTTGCAGTTAGTCATTTAATTAAATAATATTAGTAATTAATATGGATTAATCTCCTCTTTTTTTTATTATTTTTGGTTGAGATAGAGTAGAGTACTATGATTTATGGAAAAAGAAGGTTATCATAGTGTTTCTTATTCTACTTCTCGTATTTATGAATTGTCAGTACGTAGGGCAGAGAAGGAGACCCTCTATCCTTTCCCTCCATAAGAAGAACCAGCGAGACATATGATAATGGGAATAAAATATTCAAAACAGTGTTAAAAAAGATTTACAAGAAAAGAACAAGGATGTGAATTATTCGATGAAAGCGAAATGTAAGGGAAACTTGACTGAAAATGCTGTTTGAAATGTTTCTATCAAGGCTTCTTCTATGCTTCTGAGGACCAGAAACCTTTGCCTTTCCCCACTTTGAGTAGTCATCTGATTAACGTTTTCTCGGAACTCTTTGGATTCCACAATATCTTCTTCACTCCCGTGTCTCTCTCTCTTTTTTTTTTTTTTTTCACGCTTTTGTTTTGCTTCTCTTACATCTTGCTACTTACAGAGACACAACAACACGAGCACTATGGAAGAGTGTGTTAGTGGCTTGACCGGTTGACGAACATTGGAACAAAACAATGTATTATCATGTGTGCGCCTTTGCCCGGAAGTTCTTGATTCTTGCTCTTTTGAGTTGAGTCTTCTTTTCTTGTCGCATTGCCCTACCCCTACACCCCTATACGGGTAAAGTGCCCCATAAAGTTTGTCTTTGCATTTTCAGAGACAATTGCTTTCCTTGACTCACTCCAACTAGCGTTATATAATTTATTATATGTTATATTTGTAGTGTTCATAATTTCACATACCAAATATTCCTGCGTAGTACTGCGGAGTATTAAAATCTCAATCGGAGAAACTCTGAAAGACATCAGAGAAAGCATAATAAGAAATGTCCATATATATTTGGGTTGCTAGAGGAGCAAAGGTGGTTAAAGGTTGCAGGGGGTATAAAAGGGGGTAAAAATAATACAAAGACCAAACTAAAAAGAAAAAAACCCGTAACCCTAGTTTAGACTTTAGACAATTTTATGTCTACTGGAATTAATATATTGTTGTTATTATTTTGGTTCCTTTAAGGTGAGCGTCGCACGTGAAAGGTGTTTGCACGTGTAAAAGCAGCTAAGAGTGGAATGTCAGATAAGGTTCAGGTCCGAATGTCCGGGGCGACTACAGAGTGCAGAGTAGTGAGATGGAGTTTGGGATTTGAAGATAAAGTGAGTGATGGGTTTCAAAAGTGGATACCGATCAAGCTCGTAAAAGATGCTTTCGGTTTAACGCTTTCAAATGCATTTCAGATTGAGTTGCTGCTCAATGTTAAACACCCTTATCGAACCACTCGCTAAAGCATTATTACATTTAGACCCCAAAAGAAAACAAAACTCAAAAACAACATTTGTACTTGTAGTTCTGTTCTTTATATATATGTACTCTACATGTTGTGTTTTTTAAGCATTTTCTCTAATTATGTGTCTTGATTTCTTTTAATTGAACAATTTAAGCCCCGTATACTATATTCATCTGTCATTCAATTGGACACAACACACGACCATTAAAGGTAACATAGTACATGTAATTTAGCTAGTCATATATTTGCTGGATTGAATTTGCTAAACAATAAACAACAAAAAATATGCATATCACGGTGCATCTTTCTTTCTTTCTTTTGTTTTACTTGTCGAGTAAAATTGACTTTGAAAGAATTTTTATGAAACATTAAACATAAATTGACTTGTTTATTTAAAATTAAAGTCAGTCATATATTTATATTCAAATATTTGTTCTTTGTTGAAAAGTGAAATAATTAATTTTTTAATGCTAAGACAAAAAGGGCTTAGGCAATTAACAATTAAATGATATTAAAATTCTAATCAAAATACAAATTATCAAGAAACTAAAATCCTACCTAAACTATAATATATAAAAGAAACGAATTATAATTAAAAAGGAAAATTACACACGCGCTAAGCTCCACACTGCCTCATTGCCTGCTTGCTCTCGTGCGACCTTATGCTTTGCAACCTTTTTTTTTTTTTTTTTTTATAAAATTGGGGGCTTAAAAGCTTAAAATAAAACTAAGAATCAGGAAAAAAAAGAAACAACAGATTTGTCTGCAAGCAAAGAAAAATGAGTCTAAACAAATAATATCATTTGATAATGAAATATTAAATTTAGCAAAATTATTAGTCACCTGGTTAATTTTTTTGAGACATAAACACATTATACGCTTTGAATGCCACTCGTCATTTTAATAATATAGTTGACTAAAGATTAACAATAAGTTATTATTACATGGGCCAAGAAGAACCATTGTCCTCATTCATGTAGGCCTCAGCCCAGTTCCACATCTTTGATTTATCATTAAAATAGGCCTCTGAATTTGGGCCTAGTGGCTTTGTTCAGCAGCACTGTCTGGGTTCCAGGCAACAATTTCTCTGGCAGCAGAGTAAAATCCCAATATTCACACGGTTTTTGTTGGGGAAAAAAAATAGTTGTTTCATAATGTAAATACTTCAGACCAATAAATAAATAATGTAAATACTGATCTTAGTCGGAAAAGTTATTTTTATAGTTATGAATTATAACTTAAGAGGGTTCATTTAGTTTTTCTAGACTGAAAAAAAGATAGAAAATAAAAAATTATTAATTTTTAATAAATTAAAAATTGATGTACATTGAATCACTTTACACATTATAATATAAATTGCATAGTAAATTTTTTATTTATCGAAATTATATTATAAAAATTATCAGTTGTGTTCATAAACAAAAGTGATAATGGCAGTGACGATTTCAGTGATAAAAGAAGCACTCTAGGTGACGGTGGTTGTAGTAGTAAGGTGGTAGTGATAGAAAAAATTAAAAATGATAAACAAGCTAAATTGAGAAAAAAAAAGAAAAAAGAATCATACTAGAGAAAGAAGTTGATACTCATCCAACGTAAATATTGATAAAATATATGTTTTATGTTCCCTTCGTTAAATAACAAATAATAATTTGGAGGAAAAGGATTTTCTCCTTCCCTCCCATTGTATTTTTATTCTCTGCTCTGTAATTATTAAAACTAAATAAATAGAGTGAATACCCCTTCCCCTAAATTTTAAATGTGAAGTAATAATTCAATTTGGGCACGTGATCAGATCAAATTAGCATAATTGGTTTGAGGCACTCCAAGTCTCCAACACTCTAATGTAAAGTTCAATACGATCGAGTTGAATGCTGTATATATTTATATTTTAGAAAACTCACTACTTGAAATTTTTAAAAATACAAATTCATATTACATTTTGTAATTATTATAATAATAGGGACGATAACGAGACTCACGTTGGGCTATATTCCATAAATTTAAACATTATTTTTCAAATTTGTTTAAAATTTTCGGACTTAATAATCAACATTACAATGATAAGATCACATTTGGAATTCACACATTTACCCAAACTCATGATCATTCATCGTCCCAAATTTAAATTGATAACAGAGAAAAAGATAAAGAAATGAAAGGGGAAGCAGGATGATGAACAATCAATCAGCTATGGTGGACCACTATTTGCCTCTTTTGATTGTTGAAAAATGATAATTAAATGGACGAAATTATAGAGGCAATGGGAAATCTAAAGTGACCATTGGTTGTGTGGAGGAAGCGACTTGTCAATTCTTGTAATTTAAAATACTGTCTGCAATCGGCAAAGGAAGTTATTGAGGTATTGCAGCTTAAAGAAGAAAGATGCTAAATTCAGATAAGGAGAAATTCTTGGCAACAACCAACTCGTGAGATCAGCATGACATTATGACGCAAATCACTATACACATGCAGCAAAGAAAGCAACATTGCCACCAATAAACTCTGCTCTACCAAACTCCATTCCTTATTTATTTATTTATTTTAAAATTTTCCTTCTTCCAGTTCTGGACTCGCGGACCATGAAAATGAGCTAACAGAATGTTGCATGGAAACACTGGCTGGATTCTTGGGCTGTATGATTTGCGTAATTGGGCAACCAGAAAATGATCCAACTTTATAGTGATGAAAATCATGCACCCTCAAACGCGCATGCTTGTGCTGTTGCAGCACCCACCAGGCACTCTGTTTTACAGAGACACAGACCCGGGACCATCAAAGATTGTAACCATATCATTAGTGTTCCTTTTCTTTTTTCCACCCGTTAAATATTAAATATTTAATA